ACTTTTTTCAACCGATAATACATTGTCTCGATTTGATTAGTGGTGTGTTTTTGGGCCCAAAAGCAAAATTGAAAACTTAGTTATAAGGATATGTACAGTAATACTGAACATCGAGTATATACCAGGAGTTACTCGTATTTGGCAATCAAACGAGCCGTGAATTTTGTGATACATGTGTGAAGTGGACAGATGTGTGCGAACGCCAGATATACAGAACTGGTCTGACAGGCCAGCCAGGGATGGATAGCACCGACCGCTTATACTTATGATTATTATGAATGACACTTAAAATATAAGGCAAAAAAGCATTGGACAGACAAAAAGCGATCGACTTTTTTCACGGAGAGAATGGAGAAAACTAATGAACAATGAAAAGCAAAAACATATTTTCAAAGCCTATTGTCTGATCTGTTTTTTACATCATTTGCTGTTGTATTGATTCATAACATAATTATTAGTTATCCACACATGAAATGATAAGTGATTTTCAAATACCGACAGCAAAAAAGGGATTCAAAATTGTCTATAAAGATAATATCTTTTATAGATTTATATTCTTGTAATGTTCAGCGAAATGCCTTTTTAAGTGTAATTTGCAATCAAATAATCAGTTATTCATAGAAAATAGAGATATATTTTCTTATAATCAAAAGAATTTATTCACAAATAGTATGTTATGTAAGCTTTCAGTGAATATCGCGGGAGATATGAGAAGAGAAATGAATTAATGTATGAAAATATTTCCTTTAATATATACATATATACGGCAAAGTGAGTGAAAATATTACATAACAAACTTGTGGAGGACTGATAGGCCATACCATACCATAAGTACATAAGCGAGCACTCGATTATATGAAGATATATTACTGTAATTTCTTTCTATTAAGACTTTTTTAGTTTTTTATTTCATTTTTCGTCAAAAAATAAAAGAGTGAACACATTATATAATATATAATCTGAGCGTTCAATCTGTGAGTGTTATTACTGTATAATGACTTCACAAACACAACACCGAAACTATGTTTAAAAAACTCGGCAAAAGAGAGAGAAGTCTTTATTTCATTTTATTTTGTTTTTAATGTTTCCTCACTTTCCTCACTCACTCTCTCACCCTATCGTTTGTCAGAGAAATTGATTTCAATCAACAATTATATGCCTCGTTATTATCATCGCCGAAAATATAAGTGGGAAACTGCTTCACAAAAATATGATATTATTATATAATACTCTTATATTAATATAAATGTAATGCAATGCTTATAAAGAGTAATACAAAAGCAATTTATTTGCGATATTCGTTCACTCAATCTGTCTCTCTCTACCCACTATTATATGTGTATTAAATAGAAATCTTATAATAAATTTTTTTGGTGAATAACACTCAAGTAATAAACATTAGAGTTATATAAAGTGTATACTAAAGGCACGGATATTATGAAAAAGAGATATAAACTTTAAAATCTCGTTTTATTTTTGCTCATTTGATACAAAAACGCTTATTTCGTATTCAAAAGACATTCACCGAAATAAAGATATAAAGAAATAATTTGGCTATAATTTAGGGTTAATTTTCTGAGTGATTACTTCCACCAAAAAACACAACACTTTGTCTTCAAATTGATATCTTATCAGCGAAAGAGTGAAAAATAATTTGACGGAAATATTAATTCCGCAATAAAAACGTCTAAACTATTCAACGGTCTATTCAATCGCTTTTTTTAGTGAAATAACATTTCAAAACTCGTATTATATATGGTATCATAAAATACTCGACAATATAAGACACAGAAATCAAAATAATTACATCTCAAACACGACTTATTTATTCACTTAAATCATATTTTTCCTCCCGTTTTGTGTCGCAATACATGTCTTATTGTGTTGTTTATCAGTAATACTATTAGGAGTCGAGAGACTATTGTTTCCCTAATATTAAGTCCACTTATTATTATATTTGCCGTCGAATTAATGATAGCACAGACGTGTATACCAGTGCTCATACAGTGCCCACACATCGCAATGACAACCAAGAAATTGTCGACCCGTCTCACTCACTCACATCCCTGTCCTCCCTATGCTCTCTCTCATGGTATTGTTAACAGTCAAGTATTGAGTGGAACTACAGATCGATTTCAATTATATTTCTCTGTACATACGATTAGCTGGAGAGAGAGAGCGAGAGAGAGAGCGAGAGCGAGAGCGAGAGCGAGAGAGAGAGAGCGAGAGCGAGAGAGAGAGAGCGAGAGAGAGAGAGAGACTAAGAGGAATGACTGACTGACTATTAAAGGCAATGTTTAGCTACAAAAATGTTTGACTCCTCTACTAAACGGCTTAATAAATGTTAAGTTTTATAGTTATAGTTATATTCCGAGTCCTTTTAGCCAACGAAACCCTTATTTAGATTTAGTTTTAACTGTTGTTTCGGTTATACTCTAAGACTTAAGCACTGAATATATAGCAGAGAATCAATGAAATGCTCATTAATTTTATTCATTCGTTAAAAAAGTCTCATTTAATCATTTCATTACAAAATTTATTTTTCTTATAATATTAATTATAGACCTTTTGTGTGAGCCGTTGAATGCAAAGGAATTATTGGATTAAATAATATATATTGTGTTTTGAGACGAAAAATCGATAAAAAAATCTTTGTTTCTCTCATATCATAATTAAATAATGAATAGAAAATAGACTAAAATATATGAGTATTTGAATAATACTTTACTTATAATAAATGGAAATGTATTTTCTTTTTTCTATTCAAACATTATTTTACGTACAAGTGTTTTAACAAGTATTGTATATGTGTGTAATAATTAGTGTTTAAGTTATCAAAACATAACATTTGACTAAAATGATATTTTATTATTATTAGTATTACCTAAATATAATTCTTGGTTATTATCTCATTATTATTACTGTTATTATTATCAAGTTATATTCAGATTTGACATTAAATAATATAAAATTTCATTTTTAAAATTTACTGTCAGGTCTAAGTTATACTATTATAATATGTAATAAATAATAAAACTATTGAATAAAACCGAAATAAAACTAAAAATTCATTCACTGAATATATTATATTACAGTATAATTTGCGACACAAATGAATTGAGTTTATATGTGTGTCTCGAAAGATACGACAAAAAATACAAAAAACTTTTTATATTATAAATACTATTCATTCAGACAGAAAAGGATTTGTGAGCCGAGGGAAAGGGATCGGAAAATTCAAAAATCGTGATAAACGTAAAGAAGATTTTTGACGATTTATATGAGAATTAATGATAAAAAGATAAACTCTTTTTGTTGTTGTCTTAGTTTTCTATCGCAAAAGTGTAGCAAACGTTTCGCAAATCAGATCTAATGCTAAGGTTTGTTGTGTTTGGGAATGAGAGCTCAGGAATATATTCCGGGTATTGGAGTACTGTATGTGTAAAATAGTAAACATTTATTTTTATATAAGAAATAAATGTAATATCTGTGAGAGATATCACATATTATATGAGAAATTATTGTTTATTTTAGCGAATATTTCGGAGCAAATGCTTAAACTCTGAATTGTTTTCAACATTTCGTGCATTTAAATGAGAATGTGATATAATAATCATCAAAAAAAATCTTGACAAGGATTACGAGTACCAAAAACGCAACCAAAAAACTTACATTAAATTCATTTCATTTTCATTAATTAGTCTTAAAAATAGCAAAAGATTAAAGTTTTAATTATGCGAACATTTATTACAGTATTATATATATTATATAAATACCGAGTTTATTAGGCTAAACAAGAAATCATATGACATAACAAGTTTGCATATAATCGCCGGTAGTTTTGAATTGAAAGACAAGATAATAAATAATTTTTTTAAATCGTTTCAAACTAAGACTGCAAGAAAAGCGGAGTGTAAAACAAATCAGAAATTTTTATAATGGTATGCATTGGGAGAGAGAGAGAGAGAGAGACCAAATGTTTTTTATTTCACTTGAAGCGAAAAAGTGTTTTTGAAAAAATATATTTTAATTCCTGTGTTTATCTTTATATGCATTTTATTATCAGTTATAAAATAACTAAGACTGCAAGAAAAGCGGAGTGTAAAACAAATCAGAAATTTTTATAATGGTATGCATTGGGAGAGAGATAGAGAGAGAGAGAGAGAGAGAGAGAGAGAGAGAGCAAAGAGCGAGAACTAAATCTCTAAAGTCTACACAAAATAAAAAGTTTTTGTTTTCTGCAGAATAACTAATGACTTCAAAGTAAAGGCAGTGAAAGTGAAGAATAATAATAAAAAAGAGAGTTTTATAAACAAAAAACACAACAATTTTCTGATAACAAAAATCTGATCACAAAAGTAAAGCAGTCGAGCGTTAAATTCTTGCGAAAAATACACATTCAGTATATTCTGTGCATTACTTATAAAGAGTTTATATATTTTATAACTGATAATAAAATGCATATAAAGATAAACACAGGAATTAAAATATATTTTTTCAAAAACACTTTTTCGCTTCAAGTGAAATAAAAAACATTTGGTCTCTCTCTCTCTCTCTCTCTAAAAGTACTTCAATAATAAATACAATGTTTCCGTTGAATGAATAATTACAAGAGAATTATAAATAAATTTCTAAACAACACTATCTAAGCAAATATACTGCTAATTATAAAACTGGATTTTTTAGAAAATATTAATAAAATACAAATTAAAAGCAAACTTTGTCTTGAATTATGCATTCGTATCAAAATGTTGATAACAAAGTTTGCTTATTTGATGGATATCTCTCTCCCCGTATTTCTCAATAGTGGGACAAAAATTCAATTTTTATAATTGAGTTCAAGAAGTGCGAGCAGAAAGTGTACATCAAAGAGATTATGCAATCGTGAGACTACTTGTGCGCCCGTACTTTTGAATGACATGTTTGTAGTGTCGTATCAAACAAAATATATGCATAAGAAATGTGTCAAAAAAATAAATATCGCAAAACTTAATTGAAATTTATTGCTTACAGTAGACTCTGATGTCCTTTACTTCGTGTAATGTTTGAAATCCGGTCTCTTCTGATATCTCGCACCGATAGCTGCCCTGAGTCTGGAAGTCCGTTGACGTCATATAAATGTCTCCCTTATTGGACTTCACCGGCTAATTGGGAAATAAAGCTTAATTAATTACACAATATTTAAGAATATATTCATATAATATGCATTTAATAGGAGTTTTAAAACATTATAATTAATGACCTATTTTTAAACGAATTTTGTTTACAAAATATTAAAGAATATTCTTACTTAATAAGTGATTGCATTTGGCAACAGAATATTCTGCAATAAGTGTATTGCAAATCTTTTTCAGAGCACTTAAGGCAATATCTCTATCTAAACATATATACATGTATTATATCTTTCGTTGTAAAAATATTTTCATAAAAACTCATTTTTGTGTCAAAACATAGAAATTGCATAAATTATATGATTGTGTCGTTTGAAAGCATGATTGAAGGACTCATTTTAGGGATTTGTTGCGAGAATATTATCATAAAAAATAGTGAAACAAACAGTAAATCTGTGCCATAAATCATCGCAAACTATACTGTTTTACACTAGTTTTAAGTTTAGAATATAATCAATGGCTTTGAATGAGATATACGTGTATAACCAGAAAAAACATTATTTTTACACCGAAATATTCACTGCAACTTATGGCCTGGGATTTAGATTTTCAAATTCAAACCAAACCCATGAGTTTTACAATTCTTATGGATTGCGTTTAATAAACAAATAATTAGACAAAACAACTATTCTTAACATATTTTCATTTGAATTACAAGTCTCTAAATTATTTGTCTTAATAATAATTATGATATATTTTTGTGACAATAAAATTTACCATTTGTTTGGATGAGGGGGTTATGGCATGAATGTCAGGGCTAACAATAGCTCACTAAATAAATGACAGCTTTTGATGTCAATTCGTTTAATAGACTTTTGGTTTCTCGTAAACTCCTGTATATTAACAATGACTTCAAACGAGGGATTCTTAACCATTAAACTTAACACTAGTTTTAACTCTCATTTATTTTTGACGGAAGAAATTTGGAGTTTTATTTCAATACAAATACTTAACAATTATTTAATATTATTATTGATCATATTTAAGAAGGGGTGTCGAATATGGGGGGTAGGGGTAGGAGTTTGAAGTCTTTGTTGAATATAACAAGTAATATAACGATTTTACAGCTCATAAAACACTTCTCACTCCTAATATACTGTACTCTCGAAAATGGAGAGTAAAAAAAGTTTTGTTAAATTGTCAGGAAATGAATGAAACGAGATGTCAGTTAATATTTTTGTTTTGGTATTAATTTTATAAATTCAAGTGCTTTTCCAAACGTTTGTGTCAAATAAATATAAATATCAAGAGAAATAATTGCATAAAAACTAAGAAAAAGTAATTATTTTCTGCGCAAAGAATAACGATTTAAATTAAGAGAAGATTTTAGACTATATTTTAAAGAATTTTGTTGTTTTTTGTTAATTCAAAATATATAGTCCTTTAGCATAGAGTACTAATCAATACTCTATTCTCTACAACATTTCGATAAATCAAAAGTAAGGGTTTTATTCCTAATATATTCCGTATAAATATATTCTCAATGAATATAAATTATATTGCATTTCGGGACTGCAAAACAAAGTCATTCAATATATATATATATTTTTGCTGTCGTTTGCGATTGGATTTAAAGGCAATTTTAAAGACAACATTAAACGAGTCGATACTTACGTCCGGATAAACGCCACTCGTATTATACCACGTCTTGGGGTTGGCCTCGGAAACGATAAACCGATAAAACTCTTGATTATCTTTAAACCATTTGATTGAATAGATTTGTTGTAATTGTAAATCACAGCTACAGTTAAGCCAAAGGGGATCACCGAATCTGACGTAATCGGGGGCCGTTATCCGCACCGTTTGCAACGATTGCACACCTGATGGGGACAGACACACAAAAAACGGTTAATACAATATAATTGTCATCGCAATATCTAGTGATCGTAAAAAATATATTATTTTCATGTTTTGTTTGTGAACATACTGTTTACGAGTAAATAAAATACTAAATTAATCAAATGATTAGATATGGCTCTCGATTATAGCTATAAATAAGTGTTAATCTCTGTGCATGTGTTCACACAATATGTGTCGCAAAACCATACAAATTAATGGGAAATAAGCAGAAAATGCGGAATCGATTTGACAATAATTATAGCCAACAGTCAAACGAAATGACGGATTGATTGTAAAATTGAAATATTAATAAATGAATAAAAAACTTGTTTTCGCAATATCTTTGTTTAATATAAAATATGGCATAAAATCCACGTTTTTCTTAGCTATAAAATATGTAATAAAATTTTGTGACAATAACCAAAATTGTATTATAAATGGATTATATAATAGCACCAGAAAAACGACAGAATATGACATAAAAGTTTCAAATATTAATAAGAAATTCAATTTTATATTTTATAAATTTTGTTGCAAATAAAAAATAAAAAGCGAAAAGTTTTAGATTTTCACTGAGAATCTAATTTTTCAAAACCAATATAAATTATTATAAAATATTATATTTTTCCAAAACCTGAATCTCCAGTCAATATAATGTATGCAAAAACTGTGTATATTTTAGTTTTTATTTAAATATTATCTTGTAATTTCAAAATCAGCCATAAATTAAACGTTTGGAAAGGGATTTTAATTTTTAAAATAAATCTTTGCATTTAATTTAAAATTTCAGTAATAGTGTAGAAAAATGCAGTGGTTTTTGATTATTATTAGATTTTGAGCACTCAATTCAAATGTCAACAATCATTAAGTCATAAAATCTCATCAAAATAGCGTATAGACTGTAGACTATAGGCGAGAGAGAGAGAGAGAGAGAGAGAGAGAGAGAGACTAATTTCGATGTGTATTATATATATAAAGTATATATAAAGACAATACAAAGAACGTAATGATGAGAAAACTTAATTATACTATTGGTGTAGGAATTCGTATCACGAGTACAATTAACTGAACAAAATTAGTGGAAAAATAGTGCACAGAAATATAGGCTCTCATAAAAATTTATCACAAAATTTACAATAGATTTAATTGGAAACACAGACCAACACTAAAAGCAATTAATCTCTACTAAACTACGCAACACGAGAGGGAAAGTAAGAAATTATATTAAATATATGATATTTTATTCATTGATTTACAGCATTAGGATAACTTTAATTCATGAGTGAATACAAATTACGGTATAATGTCAGTGAGTATACAGAATTTATAGAGAAGTGTGTGGTTTATATTGTTTTATTATACACCTGTTAATACATCCGTCGCTCATATAATGTCTGTATTGGCCGGGGATGCAAAACCCTATTATAAGCACAACAGTACTCACAAAACCAAATGATTAATAGTCTCATCAGAGATAACATATAGTCGTTCATAAAAAGCGACACCGAAATGAGTTTTTTGAAAATTCTGGTCAAATAACAGCACATAATATAAAAAGTTACGAAACGAAACACAGCGTAAAAAGTGTCAGAAATTGTCTCCAAATTTGTTTACACAGAATATAATAGGAATCTATTGACGAGAATATATTCTGTGTTCAGAGAATGGAGAAGAAGATTAAAATGCAAAACAGACACTCAGTTTGGCTAACAATCGGATTAAGCATTTTGTCACAACAAAAGCATACTATTGATACGTTTCGCAATGCTTTTAGACTTTTATAGACGACATATAGATATTTGTTTCTTATTCTTTGAGTTTTGTTTGAAAATTTGCTTCTTTTGAAGTCAAATCATTCAATTCATTCAATTCGCTTTCTTTTTATCGCAATCTCTCTCTCTCTCTCTCTCTCTCTCTCTCTCTCTCTCTCCGGTATATTTCACTATTTCTCTCTTCACATCTTTATTACAACTCATTATGAATAACAAAAACAGAAAACCAAATGATTAATAGTCTCATCAGAGATAACATATAGTCGTTCATAAAAAGCGACACCGAAATGAGTTTTTTGAAAATTCTGGTCAAATAACAGCACATAATATAAAAAGTTACGAAACGAAACTCAGCGTAAAAAGTGTCAGAAATTGTCTCCGAATTTGTTTACACAGAATATAATAGGAATCTATTGACGAGAATATATTCTGTGTTCAGAGAATGAAGAAGAAGATTAAAATGCAAAACAGACACTCAGTTTGGCTAACAATCGGATTAAACATTTTGTCACAACAAAAGCAAACTATTGATACGTTTCGCAATGCTTTTAGACTTTTATAGACTACATATAGATATTTGTTTCTTATTCTTTGAGTTTTGTTTGAAAATTTGCTTCTTTTGAAGTCAAACCATTCAATTCATTCAATTCGCTTTCTTTTTATCGCAATCTCTCTCTCTCTCTCTCTCTCTCTCTCTCTCTTCGGTGTATTTCACTATTTCTCTCTTCACATCTTTATTACAACTCATTATGAATAACAAAAACAGCGAAGAATTTTCTCATCGTTTTTCTGAAGCATTACTTTTGGTTGTATTGTTGTGTTGAATAAAATACTTACGAATACTTATACCATAAATAAGTGCATAAATCTAAGGTCTGATTGCATTGAGAATTCCTTATCTCTCATCCCTTAACTTATACTCCAAACAAATTTGCCTTTCTCTCTCTCTCTCTCTCTCTCTCTCTCACCGTTGGTTTAGAGTCACGAACAGTAAATCAATTACAAGTATATAACATATTATAAGATATGAGGGCTAACCGTTAGTTTACTCTTATAAAAACACTATAATAATAATAATAATATGAGAGAAATGTTTTGTTTGATATTTTAAGCGATTCTCTGTGTTGTGTTGTGTTATGTGTATATTATGTGACATAAATTGCAAAGTAAGGATTGCATTCAAACCCAATGTTGTTATTGTTTTTTCTAACAAAACATATTAAAACTCACAAATCAATTGTGTTGTCTGTTGTTAATACCGTGTGAGCCATAACTTCCCAGTTTGACTATACTATGTGTACACAGCAACACAGGGCTACTACTGTCTGCTCCATTGAATTAAATCTGGAATTTTATATAATTATATAAATAGTATACACTATCTCTCAGTAGACTATACCAATAGCTCTATGTCTTAAAGGCTAACGAGATTTTGTGTAATAAACTAATTGCTCTCTAATGTTAAGGTAATATCCAATGCAATAATTAAATTAATGCGTCCTGAGTATATGCCACACCAATACACTGCACTATATCTACTGTACTGTAAAACCTGGAAATTGCATTTTATTTAATTATATTTATTTATATATATAAATATATACATGTATAGAGTGTATGTTTAGTGTGTTTGGTATAATTTGTTTGCATCAAATGGTCGATCCATTTGCCAATGAGAGCACCGCTGGACCTCCAATGCCTTTAAATGAACAGTTGTTTTAATTGGTGTCCACCATAGAAAAGCACCAAATAATACAATAGCCATAAATAAAACATATTGTTTCGTATATTATAAGTATTTGATACCATACAAAATTAACATATTTATTATGTATTCACAAAATATAGTCACCAATTTTCGTATTAAACTTTTATATATTAATATCATAATAACTGTAACGAAGTTTTATGCATTCATAAATTTTAGTTAAATTATTACCAAATTCTCGATATTTTCTATACAAATAGCCTGTAATTAAAGGTCATATCAGTTGCTATACAACTCGAGCGCAAACTATATTCATTTGAATGATGAGAAAATATTTTTTGGGTATACATTAAAATTGAATATTATTATTATTATTATAGCATTTTAAAGGCACTGATTGATTGTATAATTAATAGATACCTGTGCCTTTTGATATATCAATTGATTGCTATTTGATGTGAGAATTTTTTGTATCAATGTTTCATAAAATGATAAATTTATTAAAAAATATTTTTCATTTTTCCACATTTTTCTTATTATTAATTCCAAGACATTAATCCTAATTATAAATCCAATTAACCTCTATTTTTGTGACAATTTTCGCACAAAAATAAAACTGCTATCCATTTATGATATCTATAATTATGTTCTCAAATATTGAGATAAATATTATGTTTTAAATTAATTTAAATTAAATACAAGTGAATATCCGAAACAACAACAAGTTTAATAAATAAATCATAAAAACAAAAAATATAAAACCGCTTTAAGTACGAGATCTTTAGATATATTTAATTAAAAATTAATATATATTTAAAATAAAATTACAGAATAAGTGAACTACTATTCCGGACATAGAGTTTGAAAAAAGTTTTATATTTCGTAAACCAATGAGAAATATCCATCCAATGATAACTAAAATCAATTAATTAATAATAGTCTTACGATAAATAGTATTTTTATAAATTCTTAAAAATTTTTAACATTTGTTTTTTATTTCCCAATACTTCTAGAGTTTAGATCAATAATACATAAAAAGAGTATTTTATTTAAAATTAAAGGCAATTTTTACTATAAAAACCTTTTCTAATTGTATTTTCAATTATAGGTAATTGTTTGAGTAAATTCTTACTGCTTTTCGCTACAATAGTATTGAATAAATAGTTAAACACGAGAGTAAAATAAAGAAAGAAACTCCTACTTCTTTACTCACTAATTAAATGATGGCATAAAAGTTTAATACAGTATTTTTGTAGCTATTTTGGGCTCTCTCTCTCCTATTACTAGATTTGAATTCAAAATAAAATAAATAAATCAAATGTTTTTCCAATTCTTTGTTTTTACTTTTATTTCACAAAAAACTTTTTGACGAGAGAAGTAAGGCTTCAAAACGCGTTTCTCATCTTTCCTTAGGTTTTGTTATTTAATTACTTAATGAAAAATACATTGAAATCAAGTCTCATATGAATTCTACGATAGGGACGAGAGAGAGAGAGAGAGAGAGATGCGAAAACACACACAAAACGAGTAAAAATTAAATTAAAAGATCATTATTAAAGGCTTTAATATGCTTTTGATTTAATAATTTCTAAGTTTCAAAATTAAATTATTATAACATTAGGACCTAATCATCATTATTATGATTGTTATTACGAAATACCAGTGCAGGTAAATGTGATAAAAATTGTGATAATTTATATAAACATTTCATGTATGGAAACACTGGTTGAATAGGAATGGGATGCCAGGGGAAAGACATTTATGGGATTTCATGTTAGCTTCTCATCTGTTAAACTCTTTATGAAAATCACTTTAGTCTTCGCCACAATCATAGCGTGACTTCTGGTAATTATATTTAAAAATTAAATATGATTTAAATATAAAATTGTTGTCATATTTATTATAATAACACTTATGTATGGAATGGAAAATAACGTGCATTTTATGAGACGATTAAAAGTGAAAAATTAAGTTCAGAGTTAAATGTTAAGACAAATGATTTGTTTGACTGATAGACACAATAACTGAATGACTAAATCATATTTATAGTACACAATGTGTATTATGTATGCAATGTTTAATTTAGTATAGTTTTCATTACTTTCTCTCTCCCTCTCCCCATATATTTGAATGTCTCTAACGATTTACGATAGGGTTTAAGATAAAAAGACTATTTATATGTATTCATAACATCTGCTCTGTTATAGACTCCAGTTTTGATAGCATTATAAAAATTTATCAAAAATATTGTGTATAATATAGAAGTCAATTCTGGTCCCAAAACTATAAACACTTTTAATATATTTAACGAATAAATTATAATTATTTTGAATTATGAAAAGTTTTCAATTTTATTGAAAGCGCTCTTAAAATACATCTGGAGTTCTGTATTATTATGACTATTATATGTAAAATAAATCTAATTATTGTCTCAAAAATTCAATTAAGATTTTAATCATTTTTTGTTTTGTTTGTTTGCATTAAATTTGTTTTTAAAGAAATAGCTCTCATATTGAAGTGAATATTCGTATATAAGTTAATATAAATACATATTGTTATTAATATTACACAATAATTCAACACAAATATTCAAATATTTAGACTTTAAAATAAATGAGTTGTGAAATATATGCAAATTCTTAGATATTAATATAATATATTATACAATTCGCAACAAATCGCTGATTATCATTATAAATACAAATATACATTATTTTAATTATCTTTATATACAAATACTTGCATCAAAACTTAATGGATATATTAATTAAAATTCACAAAACAATAAAAATACAGTTCTATGCAAATGAATGGTAGAGAGAGAGAGAGAGAGAGAGAGAGAGAGAGACTTATTTAGACAAAACTTAAGTATTATTATATAAAAGTATATTTAATTATAATTTATTA